ATAAAGTCTTACCCTCTTTCATCTGGCCCGACTCCGAGCAGATTGCCTCCGCACGCAGCGTGCTGGCTGGCTGCGTATATCTGAAGCTCCTGCATACCGTCTGAAAATACGTCTTACAGGCAGCTGGAAAACAATTAAATGAGAGTGGTATGAATAAAAAATCAAACGCAAGTCACAGTAACAAGGAAGGAGAAAACATTAAAACAAGTCACTTACACACAATGTCGTCTTTATCAACATCGTGCAAATCTGGACTTGCTGTATGGCTCCGAGCAAATAGGAGGTCTGTGAAAACAAAATGTAAAGCTATGATCGGTATCCATCCGTATCCATTTCCTTTTACCGCAGAATGAAAGCATATTCTTTAAATCTTACCCTTGCTCCGGTTCATAGCGCCTGCAATTAGTCTCCGAGTTGTTAAGACGGCGTACTGCTTCCTGTGAATCACAAAAAATACACTTTAATAAAGCTTGTTCTTGCAAGGCTACTATTAGCCGCTATTAGCCGTAGCTTAGGCTAGTCTGCTTTTAGCTTAGCAGGCAGTAATCGAACATATATTTACCCCTAGCATCTCTTCTTTGAGTTCGTCTTGTTCGATGCAGAGTCGCCATCGGTCCAAGAGGAGTTTTACCCCGAAATCCCCCATTCTCCGCTCCAGACTGCCTGCACAAAGCAAAGCATCCATCCTCCACTGTGGCTGCACACCGCGCCGCTCTGAGTTTCTTGGAGATCGTACAGAGCATGCGCGAGATGAACCAGAGTTTCCGCGGATCAATAAAAATAATTAAAAAATCATTCTTTTTTTTTTTTTTTTTAAATCAAGGCCTTAATTGGCACTAAAATTATTTAAATATGTTTATCGAAGTATTTATAATTCTTTAATAAAAAATGCTTATAAAAACAATTTCGTCAGATATATTATATCGCTCCAGGCGGAGAAAAAGATAGAGGATATATATATACGTATATATGTGTGTGTGTGTGTGTTTACATACATACAGGAGTCATGGAACTGTGCTTGCAGCTCCTTCATATTTCATGTACACTAATAACTTGTGTACATGGTTCTTGTTGATGGCATTAAAATCATTTCAAATAGCATTAAAATAGCATTAAATTAGAGTCACTCATTCCTGTATGAACCCTGTGAGCGCTTAATTTAATATGACATATTAAAAAAATCCCACCATCATCCAGCATATGTTCAGTTTCTGCCCAAATATATATATATATTTTTGTAGATTTTTGTAACGGGGATAAGGATAATTCAAAACTGCTTTTTTTTAATGAACTTGTTCACTACTTCCAAACTAAGCATCTCTTTTCATTCCTGTAATAAGAAGTTTCTTTTGAATGGATTTGATTAAAGTTTAAGTCCCTCGATATAAAATAAATATTTTGATGGAGATGAGAAATCTGCTTCCTCGTTGGTGAATAACCAATAGTTTGGATCCAATCATTTAAATAAACGGTGTTAGTTTTTTGTTTTTTTTATATATATATATATAAGAATTGTGCTATAATTTCTAGTCACCGATCTGTTGCTGCTATATTTTAATTTGACGAACCGGAATTTGTCGATGTTCTTTTTCCTGTTTGGTGCGATTGCAATTGCGGATCTTGACCTGGCCGGACCTTATGACCACAGTGTACCAATCTTCTGATGGCTACTTCCAACAGGATAATGCGCCATGTTATAAAGTGAATCATCTCAGACTCATTTCTTGAAACTTTTCCACTTAAGTAATTGTGAATTGAGCATATTGACAGACAACATTTTATTTTTTATCTTAAATGCAATTTTTTTTTATATAATTACTGCTCTAAATGTATTGCTCTGTCAGCTAAAGATCTGTTTTGGTCTCTATACTTTAATTAAATAAATCAATTCAAGCTAAAATGTAAGAGGCTATACTGAGCCTGATCTCTTTGTATTCTTACCTGTCAGAAAAATGTCACTTGGTGTAAAACCCCCCCTGCAAACCTGGTTTGCATTTGTATAGCTCACAGCATGTTCATTTACATGTTAAAGCCTCCCCTAGAATTCCATGGGGGGGAGGCATGGGGGGAACACTGCTTAAGAAAGTCCACGTCATTTTCTGACAATTTACGGGAGTTTTCGGCGAAGCCTGCAAATTGTCGTAAACTGCCGCTAACCTGAAGTTCCACGACAATCTACAGTGCCGCATATTGACGAAAATCCCACTTTTCATGCAGTGACAATCATAGACAGGTTTCAGATATTACAGGCTAACAATGGAACCAAACGACCCACTCATCGGTTTCCATTTGCATGTTTCCAAGCAATACAAGGCCTTGTCCATATAAAGACTCAAACTCACTGTGGATCCAGACATTTGAATTGAGAAAGCTTCCTGGAGAGGTGGCGAAACGTCTTCAAATCTTGGAAACCAAGTCCAGTGGATTTTTTTTTTACTTTAACGGAATTCTCCTGGAAATCTAAGTGGCAGTCCGCTACATTGTTCCTCAAGGAACCAACCAAACCAAAGCCTGGAATTATATTTAGGCTCATAAATGATGGAAAATTGCTGCATAAATCTTTATTTTATAATGATCATATGGTTTTATCCTCTCATGGCTGCGCCGGGCAGGAGGCGATCCTAAACATCTCTCGACAATTATTTCGACAATTCCAGAATATATGGGGTTAAAAACGCTACAAACCAGGCGACCCCAACGCCTGCTAGACCTACGGTCACAATATGTTTTAAATATAGTCACACTGGATTGTTTAAAAAGCTGCAGAGTGCTACGGACAGAAGAAAACAAAACAGCGGACAAGCAGAGCAGGCCAGGCCGCAGGAAGCGGTGTACTAGGTGGCATAAGATGGACTGCAGAGGCGGGCTAATGGCGAAGCTAAGAAGGAAAACCCACGAGGGGGCATTTTGGACCTTGTTTACTCTAACATCAAAGATGCATTCAGAGCAGTCCCACCTCGGTTCTTCAGATCATCTCTCTGTCATGCTAATTCCTGCAAACAAGCCCCAGCTAACCAGGGCTAAATCGACACAGTAATCAGAGTATGGAGGGAAGGGGCCATGGAGAAACTCCAAGACTGTTTTGAATGCTCTGACTGGAATATGTTCAAAGCTGGAGAAACCTATGACAGCAAAATAGATATAGATGAATATGCCATGGCCCTGCGGTGGAATGGCAACCTGTCCAGGGTGTACCCTGCCTCTTCGGCCATTGACAGCTGGAGATAGGCACCAGCATCCCTCGCAACCCCAATTGGGATAAGCGTGTCAGATAATGGATGGATGGATGGATGGATGGATGGATGGATGGATGGATGGATGGATGGATGGATGGATGGATGGATGGATGGATGGATGAATATACAATGACTGAGTCAGTCTGCATCAACAATTGCACTGAAGACGCCAGCATCACAAAGAACATCACCACCTGAACAAATCATGGATGAATGGGAAGGTTTGGAAATCGCTAAAAGCACTTAAACTCAGCTATCAAGGCTGGTGATAGAGAGGTACTGAGGACAGCACCTGCCAACTTAAACGGTACCATCAGATCAGCGAAGCAGAACCAAAGCCAGAAAATTCAGGATCTTTACCAGCACCAGGAGGATGTGGCAAGGCATACGGGCGATCACAGACTACAACACACCCTCCACCCTGTAGATACAGCAAATGCTGACTTCCTAAATAAACTAAATGAACCAATTAGCACACCAGCAGTGAAAGCTGTTCCACGCCAGGGGGAGGAGACACTTAATCTTGACATAGTTAAAGTCAGAAAAACTCTGAGGAGAGTCTACCCAAGAAAGCCCCAGACCCCGATTACATACCTCTGCGGGTGTATAAGGGGTGTGCACAGACATCTTTAACACCTTGCTGGACCAGTCCATAGTGTCAGCATGCTTTAAGTCTGTCACCATCATTCTGGTCCCAAAAAAGCCTAAGATCACCTCACTAAATGATTACCGGCCTGTCGCACTGACTCCCATAATGATGACGTGTTTAGAAAGGCTGGTTAAAGAACACATCTTCTGCAGTATCGACCCATTCCAGTTCGCCTACCGATGAAACCACTGCACTGACGACGCCATCTTCTGTGCTCTTCACCTGAGAAGAGAAGCACAGCCATGTGCAGATGCTGTTCCTGGACTTTAGTTTAGCTTTCAACACCATCATCCCACAGCATCTGATAGTATAACTGGAACAGCTGGCTTTCAATACACACCTCTGCAATCGGCTGAGTTTTCAGAAAGAGTTTAGTTTTCAGAAGCAGCAAGCTGAGGGCACACCATTTGGTAATTGAGGACCCCTTGGTGTTGGTGACCCCTGGTGTAGAGCATCCAGTTTGTATTACTGTAATTGTGTTACAACTAAGCAAAAAAAATCAGTGTTTAGATGTGCAAATTTGGTACAGATTCATCATGAAAACCCCTCCAGTAGTTATTGCTGCAAAAATGATTTTGCAAATAAAATACTATATATGTATTTCTTTGTTGTTTTTTTTAAATCCATGCGGTGCAAATATTTTTGATGACCTGCAACAGTTCAATAAGTCACACTCTAGCTACAAAGCTTTTGAGAAAATGTTCTATTTGGTTTCTGACGTGCGTAGGACACCTAACACATAACCTAAGGACGCCTTTTAACAAGCTTATCTTCAAGAGGCAGTCATTTTTCCTGTGCATTATGTCATGTTTCCTCTCACAGAAACCGTTGCTTCCTATTCTGTCATTGTTTCCAGTTTAATTTTAAGTTTTGCACTTCACTTCAGAATAGTATTTTAAGCTTTTGCCTAACAGTAAATTATACTGTAGAAAATATATAAACATAAACGTATTAAACTATTGTGAAGAAAAAGATAAACCAAAGAAAATAATAGTTTTTATTTATTTTTACTTCGGCTTAAAAATTCAGCTCTTTCTCAGAGGAGTCACCATGGGTGGAACAAACAGCAGAACAGAAACCAAGAATATAGCTAGATCATTATTGCTGCAGAATCCACATGTATGCTACAGTTCTGTGCATGTTGAGGGGGTGTTTCTCGGACTAACACTCCCACGGGGAAACAGCGAATGACACAAAGAGCAGGGAACTAACAAACAGAAAGCAGTGACATTCCCTTTTGAGAAGAGAGCACTGTTTGTTCTACCGCTAAGCAAAAACATGAGAAAACTTTGGATTCTCCTTCTTCTTTTTGCTCTGTTTATACATGGGACGCTTCAAAAAAATGGTAAGAAATACATTTTTGTTTTAAATTCATTATAAAGTACAGTTTGATTGTGAGGGAAAATATTACTGAATGACACTACCAATATAAGATGCATGTTGCTGATAGACTTTCATGTTAAGAAACTACTTAAAGATATTAACGCATTTACCAGCTTTATTTAAAAAAAAAAATAACAGGAGTTCAGAGTAAAAATTTTAAGTAAACTCTTGGTTTAGACAATTATTTTATAGTTTCTGGCATATTCTGTCCTCTTACCTATTTTTTCTGAGAATAACATCAAATGTAAATGGATCAACCTTTAGTAAACTTCTGTTGTTCTTAATAACTCGATCTGTCTCTATTTATACAGCACTTCTCCTTTAAGGGCAACATAAAGTACTTCAGGTGAAATAAAAAGGAAAGTATGACAAAGGAAAACAGACAACGACTTATGAGAAAGACAAGCCTAAGCATGAAAATAAATATTTTCTGGAATGTGTAATAGAAAAGAATGATGTTCGTGTCATGAAGAGGCTACAACTCCTAAGAAGCTTGGACTCTAAAGTTGTCATAGGACTGATAAAACATAAATCAAGAAGTATAAATAGATACATAATCTATGTATTTAATTCAAATAGCTGGTATGGAAATAATACAATAAAACAAATTATTCAGTACATCCATTTATTTGAATCAATAAAAAGTGAACATCAAAGTTACATTTAATTTCTATTATAGTTAAATGAAATTACCTTTAAAAATCATTTTAATTTCTAATAATCATTTAAACACTGAGGGTGAAAGGTTTGCATTGAAAAACAACAGCAGCCTCTAGAGACGATATCAGCCATCTGCAATCTTATAAGTTATTTTTGTGTTTATTTTTTGAAGTTTTAAAGCAAATACATGTTAGATAAAGCAAAAATTATTATTGAATGTCTGAACAGAAACTCGTTTTGTTGCAGGGAGAAAGACATCAAAAGCCAAGCAAAACAAAACCAAGAGAGATTTCCCCATGCCCAGAGTCTTTAAAGGAGTCCCTCTGACAAAGTCTCCCCTCCAAGGGACACAAGCTCCTAATTCAACTATCTCTCCAGCTCTGGGGTCCATCAACGAAATTGCTGCAGGGTACCTCAAAGGGCCCCTGAGCACCAGAGCTTTCCCCATCATTTATTTGGGGCTGGTAATCGTCGGCATCCCAGCCAACCTCACCATCCTGTGTTTACTCCTGACCAAAGTCAGAAAAGTGTCGTCGGCCATCCTCTACTGCAGCCTGGCTGTCTCTGATCTATTCCTCCTCGTCTCCCTCCTTTTCAAGTCTCACTACCATCTCCTTGGAAACCACTGGGTGCTCGGAGAGGCTGCCTGTCGAGCCGTTACGGCCTGTTTCTACGGTAACCTCTACTGCTCTGCCCTGACGTTGGCCTGTATTGCCGTCAAGCGCTACATGGCCGTGGTGCACCCGTTCATATACAAAACACTACCAAAGCTGAAGAGTACAGCCTTGGTCGTCCTGGCTGTGTGGGGGGTGTTTGTTGCAGCCATCATCCCTGAGCTCTTGGTCCAGCAGACCTTTTGGCTTCCCCAGCTGAACCGCACCTCCTGCCATGATGTGTTGCCTCTGGATTACAACTCTCATGCAGTCCTGCTGTTTTCCAACCTGATTCTGACGGTTCTGTGCCTTCTGCTGCCGATGGTGGTCACCTTCGTGTGCTTCATCAAAATCTTCAGAGCTCTTAACCAGTCACACTATGACTGGGCCATGTACATCAAATCCAGTTCGCTGGTGTTTACTATCTTTCTAGTGTGTTTCCTTCCTGTCGGGGTTCTGCACTTCCTACATTATGTTTGTCTGTTTTTTAATTTAACAGACAGTCTCTACATATACTTTAACACAGCAGTGTGCCTCTGCTGCATCCATGCTTGTCTGGACCCCTTCTTCTTTATCCTCATGTCCAAATCTACTGGCAGTAAAATGTACTTCCTAAGTTTTAAAGGTAAAAGCTTCAGCATATCGATTTAAAAAAAGACTCTGTGTTTAACAAAACTAAGAAACTGTGAAACTCTCTTTTGTGGCTGGTACCCAAAGAGGAAGTACTGTGGTACAGTTTGAAGCACTGGTCTTGAACTTTACTGCTTTAAATATGGCACTTTTTTATATAAATAAATGTTTGCAACAGATTGACGTAATGGAAAGAAGCTGGAAATAAACATGTACATACCCTGATCTTCATGAACTTAACTGATTTGAAGTTAGAATTAGTAAATAAAGTAACTGAACCCAGAAGCAACATTAAAAGATAATTATTTAATAAATAATAAAAAGTTACCAGAGCAAATTGTTCCCCAAATAAAAGTAAATATGACCTAAGCCAAATTTTACTTTCAGTAAAAGTCACTTAGTTACTTTAATGTAACCAATAAGAAATCCTTCTGGTCCATTTCATAAAAGAAAAGATGAGATACAGGCCTTAAGCTGTTAATCAATAATCAACAGCTGCAAAAAATACAAGGAGAAATAAAAATCCTGGGAACAAAATCAACACCTTTGAACCAACGATTGTATAATACGTTAAAATAAATGACCTGTACTTGTATAGCACTTTATGTTGCTTCTCTATTTCTGAGTTATTCAATTACCCATTTAAACTTTATAGACGTTCTAATGCTGACATATGTTAAGTTGTGTTTTAGATTTTAATTTGAGTTACATTGCTCATAAATGGCAAATTTGTGCCTGACATTTATGTAGATAAAAAAACAGACTGTGAAGCATCCTGAGAAGGTCTGGCTCCCAAAGGTCCAGCTCCTCCACTGGGTGCACAATCTGCCCCCCACCAAGCCAGCTGCTTAGAAACTTCTGTCTTTGGTAATAAAGAGATACGCAGCCTGATGGGTTTTTTTTAAGTAAAGCTGGCATGCTAAACACATAAAATAAAAGCTGCAGAGTGTAAGCTAGCTTAGTTGGTCAATAGATTGTCAGATTAGATTTGTCAACACTTATGGCAGAAGATATTTTTTCTATATTTTTGAAATATAAAAGGTCATTAATATAAATGCATAAAATAGGATTTTGAAATAATGCATTTGAAGGAGTTAATACATTCTAACCTTTTTTTTTTTGCTGTCCCATGTCATGTGGCTGCAGTTTCAGATTATTAGAAAACACTTCAAATTTAAAATGCTGGGTTACAGACAGTGGTCATTTGACTAGATCATTTTTTCTATTTTACTACTTAGGTCTAAAGTTTCTACTGCTGCCTTGTTTGTCATTAACTTCTATTGTACCTACATTACTTGCGTCTAAGCCATATGAAGAACTAGTACAATCTACTCATTTTGTTTTTGCTTCACTTGTTTCTTTTGCATTTTTATTTTTGTGAAGCAGTCATTCTACCTTAATGTGAAAGATTATTTTCTTTTGAACCTTACAAAACCTGTTGCCTATTGATTATATTTTAATAAATGGTAAGTTTTGACTTTTCAAAGCTTTGTGGTTTGCTTTAGAATTTGCTGCAAAAGAAACGTAATAAAGGGACACAGCGGACTTTGTGACCCAAGGAGTTGACGCATATGAGTTTTTTAAATGTATTCCTCAGGTCGATATATAGCGCTTGACAATATTAGGGTGGCCATATTTTCATTTGGGAAAACCAGGACACCTTGGAGCGGGGGGGGGGGGGGGGGTTGAAAGGTTTGCTCCGTGATGAGAGGAAATTTTACTTGTTACTAGTTGTTTTAATGGTTATAGAGTCAGATATGTGGCGGTAATGTTTGATTTATCTAAAGGTTTTAATCTGTTACTGTGTAAATGGGTTTGGCTGTAATTTAAGGACAGATTCTACTATATCTGCAGAGTGGGGACTATAAATCTGATAGGAGTTTAATTTTTTTATTGTTGTTTTGCACAATATGCTTAACTAAGTATTTTTTTGTTGTTGAATATTAGAGATTTTGCAGATACATTTTGTAGATACATTGTTTAGACTTACCTATATATTTCTAACCCTTTTATAGAATAGAATAGAAAATCCCTTTATTGTCCCACAATGGGCAAATTTACAGCAGCAGAAAGATTATTGAAAATGGTCACACAAATGTGGATCTTAGAAAAATGTATAAGAATAACATAATAGGGAAGAGTTCAAATATAAAAAATAAAATTCTGTAAAGTGTTTTAACAATACAAAACTGGAGAATTAATAACCAATATGCAGCTATGGACATTTTTACAGTGATGGATATTTGAAAATAGCAGCAACATCAGAGATGTGCAGAATGACAGCAGCATTTTATTTAACTGACTAAGGTTTATATCATTACATTTGATTTGATTTGTTCCTGCTCCCGGTGGTTGGAACCTTTATTCCACTCTGGATTCTTGTGAGTGTAGTTTTTGTTCACTTTAACTTTTTAAAAAATAAATAAATAAACAAACAGTTTTGAAAACCTCGGTATTCATTCTTTTCCTGCTTTGTGTGTCAACTTTCACGGTTGCTAAGCAACAGAGCATACGGCGGTAAAACCCGCTGAAGGGAGAACCTGTTCGAATTCACAGCCAAAACTCTTCCGGCCTCCTTATTTTCAAGGACTTCGAAGGATCCAGTCTAGGTAGACCGCGTCCTTGGAGGATGCGTCCTAGGTTTTCGAACAGAGCCTTAAGAACAGGGCTGCCCGCACTGACGCGGCTCAGGGATTACGTCACACGGAGCGTTGTGCGCAGTGAAATCAGGACATTTCCTTACTTTCTAAAAAAAAACCCGGGACGCCCGGGACAGGACGTGAAATACGGATATGTCCCGGGAAATACGGACGTTTGGTCACCCTAGACAATATCAATGCTACAAGTAATACTCCCTTCATGTAATAGTGCCTTTGTAAGTTGGAAGAAGACGCACCGTTGCTGGCAAAGTCATGTGAACTGGAAGAGCTTAACGCTTTACAGCCACAGGCTCTTATATCGTCATGGACCTAAGGGTTTTCCTCGACTATTTTTCAAACTGCTTGACTACTGGTCATGGCTGAGGCAAGGAAAAAGTTTAAACTTTCCAAGGAGGCTAAAAAGAAAAAACGTGTAAGGGATTGTGCGCAAGGACTAAAAAGAGTCGATCTTGGAAAGAATGGCGCAGGCTGAAAGAAGAAGCTGGATGTAAAACTGATTCTCTTTTCTTAACTTTATTATTTAGACTGGTAAGTTAAAACTTACTATACAGTCATATATATTTTCCTCATTATTTTCCTCAGTTGGCAAAAAGAGCTCCTTGTCAGCAGTTTTGAGTGGTGCTCTAAGGACAATGCTTTGTCAAAGATAACATCTATGCTCCTAGGGCTTAATTTAGTGTAGAAACTCAAGTCGCCCAGATACTGGTCAATACCTGGGGTAGCATCATCAGGGGCAATCACCAGCACCCTTTGTTCTATCTTAGTTTAGTTGCAGGGAATTTGCACCAAGTCATTGTTTAACTTGCCCAAGACATTTCAGCAGAGAGCTTAAAGGAATAGTACACCCAAAACATGATTAGCCTTCATTTTCTACTCACCCCCATGCTGAACAACACTCTGAAGTACTTTTTTGATATCTCAAATGCATCTGGAGATCTGGGAGGCTTGCTGTCTGCTGACATTCAAATAATGGAGGTCTATGGCGCCCGAGGCAGAAAGGTCCATAAAAGTCCACAAAAAACGTGTCAATATTCCTCCATACTGCTCGTCCAATGTATTCCAAGTGTCCTGAGTGGGTAGCATCCAGAATTTACTCGAAACGAAGTCATTTAGAATGTTTTTAGAGCCTAAACAGTAGTGTATAGGATTTCCTAAAAGCGCGTTCACGAGTCTACGGAAACCGCGGCAGACCAAACCAGATGAAAGTGCGCATTCAGCTCGGCAAAGAACTCATGCTCTTCCTCAACACTGAAGTCCTCAGACATTTTTCTTTCGTTGTTTCTTTCTTTGCACAGGTAAACAGCACATTTCTTCTTCTACGCTTTATTGGCAGAGCAGACGCTGAATGCGCACTTTCATCTGGTTTGGTCTGCCGCGGTTTCCGTAGACTCGTGAACGCGAAAATGAAGGCTAATCATGTTTTGGGTGTACTATTCCTTTAACTTCTGTACCTCTGAGCATTGTATCGTCGTCTGGCCGGCCTGCCCTGGCGGCACTCTCCAGAGAGCAGCAGCATTTGTCACGCCATCCGGGCTCAACCTGGACACCTAGTGGAGTCCCCATTTAAAAACACTGGAGGCTGGCTGGCTGATCGTTGAGTTTTACGACAGTGCTGTGGTGCTTGTGGCCACAAGGGGCGCTAGATGTTATAATTAGAGGTATTGTGCCCTTAGGGGCCAAAAGTTACACCGTGGGCCTTTAAGTTTCTGAGTCAAATGAGGGACATTAGCCAACCACAGACAGCCGAAGCTTAATGCAGCAACAGTCGCATAGAGGAGCTCTTCAGAGAATTTATGCTTTGGTACAGAGCTCTTGAGATGAGAAGAAAAAACTAAAATATCGATACACTAAAGGTTTTTCACTTTCTATCACATTACATCCAATGGCTAGATACAAATTTTATTTAGATTTTATGGGATTGATCAACACAAAATTATGCATAGCTATAGCTATAGCTATGAAACTTTTTGCAACCTATATTTAAAAAGTTTTGTGTTTACCTTGCAGCTGTCATAAGAATTGCTCCCCACAGTTTCAAACGTTGCCTTTAAGCAAGAGTTGAATGTGGTTAACATGGTTTGATCTGAGCCATGAATGTCAGACTCATTTTCAGAGTTCAACATCAAGTCATTAGACAGGCCTCCTGGAGCTGTATAATAGAAACTATCAATTTTATCATTTAAAGCCACTGTGTGTAACTTTCGACCCAAATATTAGCTTCATATGAAATATATTAAGAGAGCTAACAAAGCTAAAAGTTGCTCTAAGTCAGCAAACCAGCTGGGATACTGACATGATTAGACATGTTTTTAGATCTCTGATAAAATTAAATCTAAAGGGATGAATGTGGCCTTGTCTTTCCAGGTAATTCCAGGAGTTTTTAATGTACTGCTCCAAAATTTTATTTTGTGGGTTACAGAAACTTTACTGAAAACCTGAAATTCAATGTCTTTGAAAATTATAAGATGACATAGAACAACATTATCTGGGACCTTTGCATGGATTACTGGCATGGAGGTTGTAGCATTGCTATAAAAGCTAAGGTTAGATTCCCAGTGGGGCTCAGCACTAGGAAGCCTAGGCAGAAGTTCAACTGAATAAATTAGATCACCTACCCTAATGCAATCAGAGGCTTGTCCATCTGTGAAGCAGCCAACCAGCATTCAACTGCACCTCCTCGTAATCCAATCAGCATCCAGAATGCAGCTTAAAAGAGCTTCAAATTAACAGTTCAACCTGCTACCCAACAAGCATTTGAGATGAATGGCATGTCAGACCTTGATTCTGATCACCCCGCTTCAACCCTCCTCCATTCCCACATCTCAATATGGCTCCTTCTCCATGCTGGTGCCTTGCCCCTATTGAAGTAATTCCTTGGAATCATACTGTTTTCACAAGGCATCGCCAGCCGATTTGGCAGAGGCCCAACATGTTGAGCCTGGCTCTGCAGGAAATTCCTTCCCAAGGGGAGTTTTTTCTCTCCACTGTCACTCTGTCCTTGTTCATCATAGAGGTTCATATGAACATGTGCCTTGTTCCTTCCATCTCTGTTCCACCACAATTTTCAGGCCAAGGGGGGCTTTATCCCTGTTCTCTTTC